GGGGGGGGGGGGGGGGGCGGAAATGAGGGATGGGGACCACCTCAGAGGATGGGAAGGTGGGTCTTGGAAGGGTAGGGTAGGAAAACAGGGGAAAGGGATTCCGTCAGGATCAATTCCCTGAAGAGGTGGAGACAAGTTCTCTTATTATAGGGCAGAGAAGGTAGAAGGAGCAGCAGGGAGTAACTAGACAGAGTCCACTGATCTCAGGTCACCATGGCCCCGTGGCCCATGGCTTCAGATGGCAAATATAGATCCCTTGGTTCTGGTGGAGCTCCTCACATGAGAAGTTAGCAAAGTTCACAAGCTTGGTTCCCACAATCTGTAAGGCAGACAAATCAATGGATTAGTTCTTCCCTTGAAAGTATGTTATTAATCCATTCTCTTACCTTCTGCTCACAGGATGATTCTTAAAAAAAACAAGGAGAAAAACAAAAAATGAAACAAAACAAAACAAAAAACTCCCTACAGAGAAGAACACATACCTTAGTTTTATAGCTGTTCCCTTTTTTAGAACACCCAAATGAATGTCCAATTTCCACTAAGCTCAAGCTGGAGCAATAAGTGTATTTAAGTGCTGGAACAGGTATCCACAGAGGCCAAGTAGCCTGGGAGGCTGAAAACAGGCCTGTACTGAAAGGAATTCCTATCCCGTGACTGACGGGTTGGCCAGTGAGCAAGAGCTGTGGTCTTTCTGTGAGGAAGGGATGAAAAGCCCCGTAAGTCTCATGGCCCAGTGAAATATCAGATAGGAGGAAACTCACGAGTCTGTTAATCTTCTCCATCAATCAAACCCAACATCATATCCCACAGCACTAACGAACTTGCAGTCATGTGAACACTATCGTGGGGGACTGCAAAAGGAAAGAGAAATGGTGCTAGGTAATCATTTTAGGCAAGTGCCCTACCACTTAAGCTGTATCTTTTTTGCTTTAGGTTATTTTTTAAGATAGGGTCTCACTTTTTGCCCAGGCTGGCCTTAGACCACAATCTTCCTACCTAGTTTCCCACATAGCTGGGATGACAGGCACATTTAACCATGCCCAGTTTGTTGATTCTCGTATTTTCTATCACTTTGTGTGATTTTTTTTGGGGCGGGGGAGGGCAGTACTGGGATTTTGAACTCAAGGCCTTCTGCTTTGCTAGGCAGGTGCTCTACAATTTGAGCCATTCTGCCAGCCATGTCTGGTTTGTTTTGTTGAAATGCAGTCTCACCAACTTTTTGCCCTGGCTGGCCTTGAATTGTGATCCTCTTGATCTCCATCTCCTGAATACTGTTGACTACAGGTGTCAGCCACTGTGCCTGCCCCATTCTATTAGCTCATGAACCCAAAACTTGGAGACTCTTTTTCATTGTTTGTCAAAAAACTACCTACCACTTGCTCTTCACCTCACTTGTGCCAGAGTCAAGAAAGAAGATAAAAATGTAGCCCCAGAGCAGGCCACGTCACTAGGACTTGTGAAAAGCCAGAAAGTCCTCTCCTTATTCACTCTAGTTCTCCTTCCTAATGTAGGTACTATATCCCCATTCTTGAATACTCCGGAGGGCTCCTGAGCTAGTCTGGAAAGACATGAGGGACTGAGTTGATACAAAAAACAGTGAATTGAATGGTGGATGATGACAGAGGGCAACAGAAACTTAAGTCATATCCGACTAAAGAGAAAGAGTAAGGGTACTATGATCAGAAAGGTTTTAAGGACACCTACTTGAGTTTTTTTTTTTCTTAAACACATTGCTTCTGGCACTCTTTTTACCTTCACCACTCCTACTAACACTGGCAATTCCTCTCTACCACCCACCCCTGTATACACATTTCAGCAGTGGTTAGGCAGAGACAGGGTCCTTCAGAATTGAGCTGATTTAAGAAGCATTCAACTTTGGCCTGGGTAAAACTGATTGACATGAGAAGAGTTGGGAGAGAATGAAAATTGTGACAGGGCCTGGAGTTGTAGCTCAGTGGCCCAGCACATGGTTAGCATGTGTGAGGCTGAGTTCAATCTCTAGAACCAAACAAAAAAAGAAAGGAACAAAAGAAAGGAAAGAAAGACAGATGATGGGAAGAGGGAGGGAGGGAGAGAGAGAGGAAGAAAGAAAGAGAGAGAGCGAAAGATGATGGGAAGAGGTGACTCCTAACAATTAGAGGAAACTTAAGGGGAAAACACAGTAATGAAAAGTCACTGAAAGCAAGTTGACACTTTGGGTATATCACCCATGTTAATAATTAATATTTATTGAGAGCTTAGTATAGCATCTATCAAACATTCTTCCAAGAGTTTTACATATACAGATGACTCCTGACCTGGGATGGTTCAGTTTACAATGGTACACAAATGATAAGCATTCAAATTGTTTTGTGTTTTGGTGCTGGGGCTTGAACTCAGGGCCTCGTACATGCTATGCAAGTGCTCTACCCTGGAGTTATCACCCCATTCTCTCAAATTTTGAATTTTGTTCTTTTCCTAGTCTGGCAGAATTTCTTATGAGGCAGTGGTGGCTCCCAGTCAGTCACATGATCAGGTTCAACTGACACTCTACAGTGTACTATGTTGCTAAATTATCATGCTTTATATGCTAGGTGTATTACATGCATTCTTCATTTAGCATGTCTTCAGTTTATGAGGGATTTATCAGGATGCGACCCCATCAGAAATCGAGGAGCATCTGTATTTAATTCTCACACCAGCCCTAAGAGATAGGAATGAAGTCGGTACTAATATTCCCATTTTACCCATGAGTAACTTGAGGCTCAGAGAAGTTTGGTAACTTGCCAGGAACACACAGCTCAGTCAGTAGAGGAACGGATTCAAAGTCAGGTCTGTCAAGCTCCAGAGCCCATGCTGTTAAGGATTTTAGCTTCATACCTAGAAGCAGCAGCAATATTTAGGGAAGGTGTGATGAAAGAACTACTGGGGTGGGATGATATTTAGGAAAGGTGTGATGAAAGAACTACTGAGGTAGGATGTGGGGTAGGAAGCGTGTGTGCGTGTGTGTGTGTGTGTGGAGCTGGGAGAGCAATACTAACAGGGACGGGGAAGGCTGGGGCTTTGGGCCCTACACCCGGTCAACAGCAGAGCTATTGCTGGGAGTGGGGGGCAGGGGGGCTCACGGATGGAGAGTCCTTGTTGGGGGAAACGGGGTCACTGGTGGGGAGCGCACGAATGGGAGCGCTAAAGGGGAAGGGGCAAGGGTGCGGTGCGGGGACTCCGGGTGACACCCCGGCGGCACTGGACTGGAAGAGCCCGAGGGGATGAGGGAGCCTGGATCTGAGGAAGGCACACTAAGCGGAATGAGGCAACTAAGAGGGAGGCTGGTGGCAGGGACACAGAGTGAGGGGCAGGCTGGGCCCTGCCGAGGGGCCGCCCAGGACGACCCTATGGGTGGTTATGGTAGCAACACTCACGGGAAGTCTGCAAGGAGAGGAACTGCAAGCGGAGTCATCCTGAGCCGGGGGTGGTGGGGGTGGGGGGGTGTTTGCTCTCCTCAAGGGCGGCTCACCCGGCGGAGTGGGCGGCGTCCCCGCTGTCCCCGGGCTCCGCCGCGTCCCGGGGCTGCCCGGGTTCCCTGCTCTCGGGGCCTCGGGCCGCGTCGCGGCGGCTCCGCCATCTCCGAGCGAACGCTCTGCCGCAGCCGGGCCCAACCACCGCTCCCACCGAGGGGGAGACAGCGCGCTGCTGCTCGCAGCACTCGCTCAGGTCGCCGCAGGCTCCAGCGCGGTAGCCCCGTGACCGAGGTGCGGAGGAAACCAAACAGCTCTCCACAACGCTCCGCCGAGCTGCGGTCTCCAAAACGGCCGGCTCCGCACCCTGCGTACAGAAGTGCACCCCTTTCTCCCCGCCCGGTGGCACAATCTGGCGAGCGTAGGGCGCCGCGGATACTGAACAGGGGCGGGTCCAGGATACGGGTTTGTCCACTGAGCCTAGCGGAGGGGGAGCCAGGTCGGCCCACTGAAGGCGGGGGTGGGAGCGGAGCTTGTCTGGGACGCAGGTGGGAGGGTTGGGGGGGGGCGTGGGGAAGACCCTCAGCCCACCACTGAAGAACCCACGTGCTCCCCGCCACCCATACCCGCTCACCAGCCCGGGGAACCTGGGAGTGAGTTTATGAAGTTTTTTTCTAAAGGCCCAGAAAGGGAGTAGGGGAAAACAACTCTCCATCTGAAGCATTGGAACTCAAGCTACTAAAATCCAACCCCTGGCCATAATCCTCCAACAGCAGTAACACAGTGAACTGTTTAGTTATTTTATTAAATATCTTCAAGGTTTCATTGTAACAAAGCTATGAAGGGTCTACCAACATTCAGAACAAACACTATTTTTAAATTATTTTTATCATGCAAAAATTCTGCATCAAATGCCTCCCACTTCCTGTTTAAAAGGTGATTTTTAATAGTCTATTGTCTATAGATGCTGACATTAGCCCCAGAAGAGGAGTAAGAATGCTAAGAAGTGGGGCTGGAGCAGCCATAAGAAGCTATGGGTCTCAATGAACTATAAGACCATTTGTCTTCAAGCCAGCAAAACCAAACCCCATGGTGAAGTTATCTGCGAGCTGGTACTGCAGGGTGCAGGGCAGGAAGGGGCTGGGGTCCAGGGGCTGGGGCATGCATGAGGTGCTCGAGGAGCCTGTCTAAATCCAAGCACCAGCACCCAAGTTTGCTCTCTTCTCAGCTGGCTCCAAAGTCACCTATAACGTTCCCTCTTCTGGCAGCTCCAGCGCCTCCTGAAGGTAGTCCAGGGAGCTGCAATCTGCCCACTCCCCTCCCGTCCCCCACAAAGTGCAGATACTTGTGCAGAGAAATATGCAGTTGTTTTGGGGGAAAACCAAGGCCATAACAAATCGCTCCTCCACTATATTCTCTTTTATCTGCTTAGGATATAGATCTTTTTTTTCCTAGAATGGAACTCCTTGAGCAGAGAGGGACAATGAATGTGGAGCCTTGGCTCTGGACACCTTTTTTGGGTACATGCAATGGAAGGGGTGATGCCCATGCAGATTGTCCAGCAGTAAGTCTATACTTCAGTTGGTCAGTAAAGAGCCCTCTTTAAAGAAGACATTTCTCACTGGAGCAGTCAGTTCAATCTCAAAGATAGGGAAAGAGATGGGCGTGCAGCAAGGGAAGAGTAAGAAGGGAGGCAGCCCTGAGGGCAGCCTGAATGCATAGAAACAACCACCTCTTATCCTGCTGTCTCACTCCTCCCATCACGCAGGGGCACTTGGCAGAGGGCTCAGGCCCAAATGAGGGTCAGCATGGGGACCACCACCATGAAAAGGCAAGATAAAGATGGTCCAGGTCAGCACAGAAACAGAACTGCCAAAGGTGGCAAGGGGAGCTCTGACCAGGATCTGGCTCTCTCCTTGCTGTTATTAAGAAACAAACATGAAGCAAAGCAGTAACCCCTCTCCCTTACCAGCTGCAGGGATCAGGGCTCGATATCAGGGCCCACGTGCATTTTGCATCCTATAGAAATGGATGAGTGAGTGCATATCATACTTAACACGAGGTTCCTCATTGGCTTCCTTGCGGACACATTTCTGCAGCACCAATTCTCTTCCCTTCTACACTAAATAGAACAGTACAGCAAAGTTCGGACTCTCAGGCTGAGACTACTGCTTCTTAGCTGCCTTCACAGCTGGCTGGGAGCTCCGCCTTCTCTCCCAAGTAGGTCTGATGTCCATGGTGTCTTTGTCATCAGCCTTATTCTAGGTGCCTATGCAGGTTCTGAAGTAGTTCACTCCTAGACCTGGGATAAGCAGGCCACCTCAAGGGCTGCAAACACATCATGGCCCCCAACGCTCTGTCAGAGTCCTTGCCTGGTCCCCCTGAGTCCATGGGGGCCTGCGGCCCAGTTCACCTCTTCAGGGCTGGTGGGTGAGCCCCACTGTTCATGCCAGGATGGGCATCACACAAACTCCTGCCTTCTTGCCAGCCCAAGGGCTACTGGTGGTTTTTAAACGCATCATGGTATGGATTCCTTTTTTTTTTTTTAAACAATCTTTTTTCTCTTAAATGTAAAAAACACCTTGGTACAGCAGAGACAGACACGAAGGGCGGGCGGGAGGGCTGCATGCAGGGGCGTGCATTGGCTGCTGCCGCTTTGTAATTTAATTGTTTTAAACCTCAAACGAACAGGACTGCCGCTGTCACTCAGGCCCTCCAGAGCCACTGGCTGCAAAGGTTCGACCTCCAGCTGGAATCTCCTAATGCCCCTGTCAAACAGGACAGAAGGTGGTAACAAAATAGAGGACAATGAGCACACAGATGCTCACTGGAGCATCCTGGGACTTAAGCACACTACACACATGACCACGTCTGCCTGAGAAGGTGGGGGATGGGGAAGAAGCTAATGTTTAAATACATTATCTCAAATCTGAAAATGTATTATGTGCTTTACATATACTGTTTTATGTACTCCTCACAAGTTCAAAGAGGCACGTACCATTCTTTCCTTTTTTTTTTTTTTTTTCTGGTAGTACTGGGGTTTGAACTCAGGGCCTTTCATTTGCTCTACCACTTAAGCCATGGCTCAGCCTTCCTTCTTTTTTGACAGCTAAGGAAACAGGCTTATAGAGAGAAAGTAACCTGTGTGTACCCAATTTGGAGTCATGGGGCCACACTCATAACCAAGTTTCATTTCAGAATATAACTTATTACAACTATACTGCCCAGATTTTGCCATTCCTCTGAGATGGCCCATATCCTCTCCCTAGGTGCCACCTCCCAGCCTCCTCTCACTCCTCTGACCCCACCTGTCCCAGCCCCTCCCAGCCCTTCCTTCCCCATCAGGTGCACCTGTGGCTGAGCTCACTGCAGCGGTGCAGCAGGGGCCCCTGAGCAGTGATAGTGGACATTGAGCCACTTGCCATCCCGGCGGTGCCAGACCCGAGTCTCCTCTGACTGGCTGGTGCGAGGCCGACCCTGCCCGTCGATATACTGGGTGAGACGGATGTAGGCGATGCAAGCTGCGTCCTCCCCAATCACGTGAACGTGTGGGTTTAGGATGGTGGTATGGATGGGCTTGTTGTTCTTGGATAAGACTGCAGGGGGCAGGGCAGGAAGGGGAAGGAAGGTAGGAGTACATCAGGCTGGGCACCTGCATTTTCCTCCTGACCTGTACTTACATGAGTTTCACCCACCCTCTGGCAACCATTCCTAGAATCTCCAAGTCTCTCATCCCATATGTAATGGGGTCAGGATACCCCATTACATTATGTCTTATTCAAAAGGAAGAGAAATGTGGGTAACAATGACAATAAGCAGGTCAGGCATTATGCTGGGAGTTTTACAAGCATGAGTTGTATTTCTTTGTTATACAAAGGAAATAAGTTCAAAGAGATTAAGTAATTTACCCAACTCCCATATTTAAACTCTGGACCACGTGGCTCTAATAAAAGCCTATGGTCTTTCTATCTTGTTAAACTGATATTTAGATTTCACATAGTTGGTTTGTCACTAACTAGGGCTATAAAGCAAAATCATGAACTCAAAACATTCAGAGTCAATTTGTGACTTGAAAAAAAAAGGCACAAAAGTTAAAATAAAATCACCAAAGTACCCAGTTCAGAATCTCCCGAGTTCCCAAGGTCCTCTGGGGAAAAGGCAAAGGAAGTTGGATTGCCATTACCAGCACATATGGTGTAGATGGTGATGCTTTTATTGAGATTCATAATTTAGTTCAATTCCAGTGGACCAGAGGCTGCAAGGGACCTTCCTCAGAACTAATACAGAAACTCTGGAATAGCTTCTGGCTAACAGAATTATTTAGATACCTGAGGGTTTATATAGGCAGCTGAGATGTGGAGAGGATGGGAATCGGTAAAGAAAACAAACACAAAATAAAACTCGGGGCAGAATGGGAAAAGCCCAGATAAAGTTGGCAAGAGGAGGAAAAAGTGAGGGAGTGGGGGGGGTCTCAGAGACTAGAGAGATGGGAGGGGCAGTTATGATTCAAATCCTTGTCCCCTGGGACTTCTATGAACTATCCAAAATATACATCCCCTCCCCAACCCAGGATGCCAGCCTCCCTTGATATTCAGGAGGATCCCAGCCACAACTTCTGGCTCACAAATCACCACCAGTGCCCTGTTACTTGTTAGCACATTCTTATGGTATTATTAATCTCCTCTATTGTGAAACCTGTAGACACAAGCTTCATTATTACTCGCTAAGATTATTTCAACCTAATCTCAAAGGGTTTGCACTCTGTCTTCGAAAGAGATGAGGCTTAAAGAAATACAGTGAGTGTGGTAACCAGCAATGCCCGAGGCAGCTGCAGAATGAATGGGCACTCTGAGCTTAGGAGCAGGGCCTTCAAAAGTGGCAGTTTAAGACCATCAGGGCACAATATCAGCAGGGCACAAGGAGGCAAGCATACAGAGCAGGATGCAGCAGAAAGGTCAAATAAGGGGAAAATGAGCAACTGGGGTAAGAAGGTGAGCAGGGGACAAAGGCAAAGGGTGAAGGGGCAGGCAGGAGTATATCAGCAGCACGAACCCACTCACGATTCTCAAAGTAAAACTTATGGAAATCCATCCCCTCCACGAGGTTACCGAGAGCCTCAGGCTCAAAGGAAGTGAGACCTGGGTCACAAATCTTCCTGCAGGAAAAATAAATAAATAACAAATAAATAAAACAAAAAGCAGCCTGCCAGGCCTTTATTGAAGTTATGTGTCTTTGTTCCTCTTCAGTGGTGTCTGTACCATAGCAGCAGGTTAGCTAAGGGTCATGCCTGATAAGACAGCTAAAATCTTTGGGGCCTGCTGCTGAGTCACTCATCTTGCTCAATCACAGGGAATCTAGTCCTGGGGTTTAATTCAAACACTGTGCCCAAGGCCCAATATGCCCTTTTCCCCAGGATCCCAACTGCTTTTTGTAAGCAGAGAAGGCCTTGAGAGGTGACCTGTTTCAAGTAAATGGGTCTTTACTCACGTGTAAGCCTCAAAGTCCCCATTGTTGATGGCTTCAATCAGCTGTTCTGTGATCTTAATGATCTCCTGTTTTCGCACTGTGGGGTGAAAAATCCACCAATTTACCTGCTGGGCACCTCCCAAGAGATGAGAGCCCTCCTCAATCCTTTACAGAACTCCTTGTAATCTCTTTGTCAGAGATATCCCTGTTCTTTGTTATTAAGGCCCATTTTAGGAGCAAGCCCATTTTTCTCTCTATCCCCTCTATGGTGTCTGCAGAGCCAAAGACCACCTCTTTTTGAAGCCCATCCATTAGTTATGGATCTCCAGCCTTTGCCTCCCTCTCCAACAACAACCAGATCACAGGAAACACTTGTCTTTAGCAATTGAGGAACCTGAAATATCATGAACACTCTACCCAGAGTCTGTGTATCCTGTCCCCAGCAGGTTCAGACTCTCTGAGAAGCATCTCCCAATATAGCTGTTTCTATACCCTGCCCCCTTACTTCTCTCACAGGAAGGGCTCAGTTACTACCTCCACTCTGAGCCCTCACTTAGTGGTCTGAAAGTCTAGCCTTGGGCACCAGTCAGCTTGACAGCATAATCTAGCTAGGGATGAAGGCCCCAAAAAGAATGAACAGAAGCCTAGGATGGATGTTTTAATTCTTTTCACCCTGCTCATCACCTCCACAGGGCTTTTCTGTCATAGGGGATTTTGGAACCATAAAAACTCAGTCTCTCACTAAAGAGCTCCATTTGCCTTGGACAAGCCTTGGAAAAGCTATAAATTTCATATCAACTCTTATGCCAGGATGAGAGGTAGGTGGAGCTGGTGTCCTCAGAATTTCCTTCCCACCCTATTCCAAGCCAAGGAACAGCTGATGACCTCCTGCTCTCAGGGGCAGCTAACTTACAAAGACCACTACTATTAGCATAGAGTGCCACCAGGGTAAGAGAGGGCATGGACTGAGTTCAGGCTAACCCTGATAGAAGCCCCAGGCTGGCCTAGGCCTCAAGCTTTTAATCACAGGAGCCAGAGACTGCAAGACAAATGCAAGCATCAGCATTAGAACAATACCACTGTGCTAGGCCAGCAGAGCCAAGGGGAATGGCTAGCAGGCAATATCATGGCCAAAGGTACAGCCACACCACCAGGTGGTCAGCTCCATGTGAGCAAGCAGCAGGTTAGGGGGACCAATAAGCTCTATTTCCTTTCTAAAGAAGCAAGGAGCTATGTCCACACAACACACGCACCCCCTCTTCAACCCCACCAAACCCATCTGAGTGACCTGCCGGGGGCCCTGTGGGTAAAGAGACTTTTAGAAGTTCTACAAGGATGAATGATGAGAGGAAAAGAAGCAAAGAGAGGCATCCTCCAACACCAGCACAACTAAGAATATAAACACAAACTGCCATTAACTCTGCAAGGCATCGTGTGGAGACCTTCTACTTTCTCATTTATTTTTCTTAAGAATGCGTGAGGTGGGTGCTGTTCCCCCCTCCCCCACTGTACAGTTAAGGAAACTGAAGCTCTGGGAAGCTAAGCTACTTCAGACTTTTGAAGGTAGCACAACTAGGATTTAAACTCAGGTTGGTCTCACACCAAACCCTGTGCTTTTAATATGACTTTATGCTGAGCCTCAGGAAACACTACATGGTTCCTTGGCTATTGCAATTTCACCATTGCTCCTACTCTCAACCCTGTAGACTTAACTTCCAACTTTGCCCTTCTTCCTGGCTGCTGTCAAGGCAAGGCCCACTGCACATCCCAGTGGCTTTCTATTCCCTCCCTCCATGCCAAGTTATTTTACCCACTCTTGTGGTATTTTGAGGGGCTCTGGACTCAGGCTTCTGTCTGGTATTAACAGTGCCTCTGGCTGTTCACCCACCCCTGGCAGAGACTGTACTCCTGAAGCTGCCTATGACAGGCAGCTGGGCTATTTTGACAGCTCTGATGGGGATCCCTGAGGGGCTTCAGGATGAGCCAGAGAGTTGGAAGCCAGAATGTGCCTCCCTCACACTTACTGGCTGAGGAGCAGAGAGAAGGCTGGGGCTGCATGCCTGCAGAGGGGGCTGTTCTGTCCCGGGAGCTCCGTCCTTCAGGCACCGAGCTGCCATTCCCAGTGCGGAGCGGGGCAGCTAGCCAGCCAGGGCAGGGCAGGGCAAGGCAGAGCAGCCAAAACAAACAGAACAAGGCAGGTGAGCGAGCAAGCCAGACAGGACCCGAGCCCGTGGCACTGCAGAGCCGGGGCAAGGTGACACCTTGGGCTGTTGTGGACGCTAGACCATATCCCACTCCGCCGCCTCTGCTGGAGAGGCCTCCCAACCAGGAGCTCCAGGAAGGTGTACAGACCTGGGTTTGCAGCTTCAAGAGGAGCCTTAGAACAGTCTGTACAAGGAACCCTGCTCCTGGGGAAGATGTCTGAGGAGGCTAGGCCACGAGGTCAAGAGCCCATGTGTGAAGGTGCCTCCTACTCTGCATCTCCAAAACTGAATTGATCTGATCTGACTGCCGGAAGCCCTGGCAGTACTATTCTTACTGCCTTATATGTACATGATTTTGACTTTTCTTTTGCTCCAAAATATTTGTTGTCTCTTATTACCTATGGGCATGCTCTCTCAGCTCTGTCTTATAACATCCTCTGTCTTTTCTGATGACCTAACTGATGGTCATTTACTGAAGGCCAAAGGAGTAATTCCAGGAGGACAACCCAAAGAGCAGGAAGAAACTCCCATTGGTCTGGCCTTCTAAGCTCCCTGTAAACCCTGGCACTCTGGCCAGCCTTAAACTTAGGCTGGTGGTCCTCATGTGCCAACCAAGGCATAGCCAAGTATGGCTTCACAAACATCAGTTCTTATCATTCATGACCAGACCTCAGGACTAGAGCAATCAATTTATCACAGTGGGGGCCCAAGACTGTCCTTTTTTTTTTTTTTTTTTTTTTGGCGCTGGGGATCAAACCCAGGGCCTTGCAGCACATATTAGGCAAGTGTTCTGCCACTGAGCTACACCCCTAGTCTTTCTCTTAGTTTTAAAACTGAAAGTTCCACACCCTGGGAATTGCCTTGGTCCTGGGAAAATCAGGATGACTGGCCACTCCACTTCTGCAGGGACATAAGATGCTCCTGTTCTGAGTTGTCACACATCATTTTCAGTAACAGAACAGCTCACTGAGCTCTGGCGCCAGTAAGAACTAATTTATCTATTCTAGACTAGGGTCCAAGAAGAGAGGCAGCCCAGCAACACAAGACAGGGCCTCATATCTTGTTCCATGGAAAGTAGCTTTTATGCCAAGCCTTCTCCCACAGTATAAAGAGCCACCAATCCCAGTTCTGGGGACAAACAAGACAGGTGCCCTATCACAGTCAAGATACCTGGATCATGGCTGGGGTCCCTTCCCCTCCAAGGAGCAGCACCTACCTTTGAGGTCCTCATCTTCTGTAGTGGTATTGCAGCTCTCTGTGGAGCCCTGTGGGCCAAAATGAACATGTTTCTATATGCTCAGGCCCTTGAAAGCTCAGAGGAGCAAGAACAAAAGCACAGCATGGGTTCCTGTAGGAGGTGCCAGGAGGAATCACAGAAGTTTCTACTTCCCATCCTTGCTCTCTGACTTACAAAACTCTGGGTTCCCAAATGCCCTTCCTAGGTTTTCCCAAGTCAGTAAATGGTACCATCTACCTAGCTACTCAGGCTAAAACCTGGAGTCATCCTTGATTCTTGTCTGTCTTTCTCCTTTATATTCAAACTAAAATAAAACCTGTCAGTTTTACCTACAAAATAAATCCCATGTCTTAATTCTCTTCAAATGAACAGCTACAATCTAAGTCCAAGCTACCAACATCTCACACCTGAACCACTATGATAGTTCTGAGGTCTCCCTCCTTCCACTCTTACTTGCCTCCTCAAGTTCTTGCCTATAATGTGGCTACAATGATCTTGTAAAGGACAAATTATATGTCTCACCAGCTAAGAAGTGCCTTGCTACTGGAACAAAATGCAAGTTCAGCCTGACTTTCCAACCTCACTACTGTCCTTGGTCCTTGCTCATCATGCTCAACTCTGCTTGATTCTTCTAGTTCTTATACCTCGGCCCAGGACACTGTCCCACAGTCTGCCTGGATGCCTCACTCCCACTGCTATTTAGTTTCTAGCTCAAATATCCTCTCTTGAGAGGCCCCTACTTAGAGGTCCTTCCCTGACCATTCAATTAAAGTCTCTGTTCATTTTCTTTACTTTGTGCCTCTTTTTTTCAGAACACTTATCACTGGTTTGGATTTTATCTTATTTGGGTACTGGTCTGTTAACTATCCTTCTCTTGCTCCCATGGACTAGGACTTTTGTCTTGACACCTCTATAATGCAGAGCCATTGATGGCTGGGCTCAACAGATATTTACTAATGTTCATGAAAATTCAGAGGATATGGTGGTAATGGCAGGGGGAGGGAAAAGAAAATCACTAAAGTCTGATTATACTCTTGTCTCTTTTATTATTTTTTTAGCTAACATTTATTTTAACTTAAAACTTCCAAACTCATGGGGGAAGATTCTGTTATCATTATCACCCCCAATTTACAGGTAAGTACAGAGTAGTTAAGTGATTTGTTTAGAGGTCCAAAGTCAGGATTTACACGAGACCTATCAGACTTTAGAGCTTGAGCCCAGAATCACAAGTTTGCCCATCTTCAGAATGGAGCACCTAACAGGCACACACTGTCTCCAGCCTGGCCTCCACAAACATTTCTATAGGGTGCAGCCTGTAGGCAGCCATCTGCAGAACTCTTAGATCCTGGTTACCCAGCCCACCTAACTTCTGCTGATCCAGAAAGCAGGACAGGCTCAGAAGCCACTCACTCACCTTGATTCCATCTGTAGCATTGTGCACCACGGTGGTTTGTGGCTCCTGTGAGAGAAGATAAAAATTACCCTTTTGACTTGGGGACAGACCTACAGCTCTTCTCTCAGGGACCACCCCCCTGTCCAGTACCCTCAGAGACTGTATGATGACCACTTAGGCCTGTCCACCCGCCATTCCCATAAGACAAAGTATCCTGGTTCAATGAGGGCCCCAGAGAGCTGGGAAGTTCTGGATTCAGGTGACAGCATTGGCTAATAAGAAGAGTTCTGGCAGAAGCAAGTACCTGGGAAGCCAAGTGAACAAGGAATCAATCCCTGATTCCTACTGGTTCTGAGCATTCTTTCCACATGAGGGCTCAATTGGATAAGTACATAGGAGGAACCCTGGAACTCAGGGCACAGGCTGGGCCCTGCCAACAGTGTTCATCAAGAGGTGCACAGGAGGCAGGGATACAGGAAGAGCAGAATGATAAGGTCTCCCAGCAAGACCCAGGATGCTACCTCAGGAAGCTGAGCACAGGGAGCTGCCTACTTTGCACACATTTCACTTTCCCCAGGTGGCCCTATGGCACCATGTCAGGCAGCACAAGGGTCCACAGGATGTAGAGGGCATAGCATGATCCTCTCTCTCTCTCTCCCATCAACACTCCCCCTCCACCACTAACTCTTTAGTTTAGTCACCACTAGCAGAGGGTGCTGAGACACAGTGCCCTCTGGAAGAGCCCAGAGAGAACCCAAACAGATGGGGCTCTACAGGACTCCAGAGATGGTCCTTGTGCAGCATCCAGAGGTGGGGGCTCTAGCCTTCCTTCCTGATCCTGTCTTTGCAAAGAAGAGGCTGAGGCAGATTCTACAAGAAGGCCTCCAAGAACTGATGCGTAGGTACCAAGAAAGCTCCCACACTCTCCTTTTATAAGCAACGAACCTTCCCAGCTCCTACGGCTGACCACTGGGGGTTCAGGCCTTGGGCTGGAAGGTTTAGCTGAGAGCCCTGATCATTCTTCCCCGCAACAGTGAAAGGAGCAGGAGCTGCGATTCTGCCATGCGGGATAGTGTGGCCAAGCAGGACTGTGAAGGGTAAGGGATCAAAGGGACAGCACACAGGGCAGCCTGCTCTACAGGAATCAATAAAGGAAAAAGGCTGGGGAGTCCTAGTGGGGAAGGCAAGAAAAGGAAGGGGGAAGGAGCAGGAAGCAGCCAGGAGCAGAGGCGGAGAAGCTGTAGTCAGGAGGTACCATGGCCGTCTGCAAGGGCGCAGGCTCTTGGGCTGGGCTTAGGAGACTGTTTTTGTTGTTGCTCTGTGGCTGAGACAAGAAAACAGATGGTTTAGTTCCTCTGGAGTCACCAAATCCACTCAGGTTTGACTCCCAGACCACCCTTGCCCCCTGGCCTGGCCTGGAGGAGCTAGGCCTGAGGCGGCCACCATAACACTATGCAGATGGGAACAATGGTTGGAGAGATGATCGGAGGAAGGAGTACCGGGAGAGGCCCAGGGACCTAGGTTGGCAGCATCCTCAAGGTGGGACCAACCAGGGTCTTAAAGCATCTCTTCAGAAATCTCTACTTATTCCAGGTAACATGTCACCACACAATCATATTTGACACAAAGAAATTAAGGTCTTCTTCCCACATTACAGGTGGAAAAAGAAAGAAGAACAGAATTTAAAAACTCTGGCTTTCCTACTGTGGGCTCTTCTACCTTGTACCTGCATTTCCTTCCCCTTAAAATACCAGCTTAAAACCTAATCTGAAAAGAAGAGGAAGGAGAAGAGAAAGAACACCTGGCCCAGGAGGTAGTATCTAGAGAGGAAAGGGGTGAAATTTAACTTTGAATAAAAAAAACTTATCTACAGGCCCCAGAGAGCAGAAACAGAGCTTTGCTCTTCACTTTCTGCCTAATAAATCTTGAACTGACTCAGCTGAAAGTGAGAGCAGAGGTCCAAGGAGAGGCAGGCAAATCTTGGTGTGAGCTGTGGCTGTAGTCCCAGAACCCAGCCCCCAAGAAAGAGCAGGCTGCCCAGCAGGCAAACATTCCTCATGGTAACATGACCACCAGGGATATCTCTTTGCCTTTCAAAACATTAGAGTGGCACAACCAAGGACAAGTGGGGAGAGACTGGAAAGGAAGGAAGGAGCCTGATCTTCAGGGCAGAGAGCCACATCAATGCCCTCTGCTTCTCATGATTCCCTAGCTGGTGTAACTCGGTCTCACTGGAGTTGTGGCCAAGGAGCAGCTTAACATTATTCTTCATCAGGGAGAGATAAATGTGTGGTTATTGCCTCTGTGCAAGGCATAAACGAGGACATGTTTACAGCTAAACGTGTTTCTTCTCTCCTAAGACACACACAGAAAGCACACAGACTGTTCTACACCTTGTCTGGAGGACTCTTGGACCAGACCTGACACCATCCACCCCCAGCTTGCTGTTAGCAGCTGAGAAAACCCCAAACCCAAAGTCAGAAATGGAACCTTGAGCCAGACCTCTCTGTAAGCTAGAGAAGTCTACATGGATCTAAACTCACATGAGCAGCTCTCTTCTGTTCCCATCAAGAGTGGAACCCTCCTAGCTCAGCTGCAGATGCTGACCTCCTGCTTGGGGCTGACTGGAGCAGGCAGCCCTGCTTGCAAAGCTCAGCCGACACCAAGACCCTCTTAGAGGAAAAGGACTCCACAGTGCCTATAAAACATGCCTTATCTGAAGAGGATTAAGATGATACCCAAGTGGCAAGTGCACTACCTATGGTTTTGATGGATAGTTTCATAATGACTCAGGCTGCTGTGTTTCCCTTGGTGCCCTGTGTCCCATGAGAAAGATCCGTTCACTGTAGTCTTTCAGCTATTCCCCTAGAGGACTGGGCAGGCAGGATGGAGAACTGGGCCCAGCTGGGGAATGGACTTGCACAGGGGAAAAGCCTGGAAAGCAAGGCTTAGAGCTTGGAGCCTACAACAGCTTTTCCGTCCATCATATTGCTGCCCAATGGATGACAGTCTGCAGGAAGCAGCTGCTCATGTCTGATGAGCACAGCATCTCCTCCTGAGTGACAGTGAGTGAGGGTCTCTCTCTATACATGCCACCAGGCTCCTAGTCCCTACCAGTTTTACTTTCTGCCCTGGGCTGCTCCACAGCAGGGAGTGCCATACCACACCTTCCATAGCCCACTTCTGAGGCCACTTGGTGACCTTGGGTAATGGTTCCCGCCTGGCAGGACAGGCCACACCTGCCCACACAGCACAGACATGCAGTGAGGATGAGTGAGGCACACGCACATGGCAGAATGGATCTGCGTGGCTGGCGGGCGGGCGCAGGCAGCATGGAGTGGGTGGATGGGTGGGCAGGCAAGGCTCACCATTAGGTGTACGCTGGAACTCGACTTCCTTTTCTGGACACACCACAGCAAAAGGGAAAGAGAAGGGGGAGAAGAAGAGGAGGTAAGAAGAGAAGCACAGAGCAACTGCAGGTTAGTACACCAGCGTGGGCTCTGCATAGGGGGAGAAAAGAGCAGAAGAAGGAGACCCAGAGTCCAGCACCAGAGGGGTTAAAACAGCACACAGATGGACAGGCGCACACACTCCTCTCCAGACCCTGGAGAGGAAGAACTCCTCTGCTGTCAGGTTTGCAAACACAGACGTGGTATATTCTGATAAGTCTCAGCCTTGCTCAGATGCTCAGAGGAAGCTTCTTAAGGAGATTAATTCATAGGTTATGAGGGTAAGTAACATCTGGTTGCTGCAGACTTACAGGTTTGGGTTCACAGGACTAGCATACCTATGAGGTTATTTACATTCTCTTACTGCCATATAAACAACTACCAGGTAAACAGCAAAAGCTACTATGGACCATCCTCAGCTTTAGTAACATTTAACTTCTGAACCCAGACTTTGCTGTACCTCTAAACTGCTTTCCAGATAAAGATGTTGAGCTTTTGAAAATGATCTCACAGTTATGGTGTCCCCTTCTTTGTTGGTATGGCCATGCTTATTTAAAAGATTTGAATGTTTGAATTGTGATTACTGGGAATGAGAATACAGGACTGCTGATGACTAAAAGTGCAGTGGTCATAAAAATGCAGAGATGGAAGCCGTGGGGAATGCTAAAAGCAGTGCCTCCTTAGCCTCAACTAGATGCTCACAGACGATGTTCAGAGGTGAAACAAGAGCATCAAAATAAAGACCACATGGTACACTGAAACTGTATCTCAGAGGACTGTGTTAAAAGGTGAAGGATAATTATGAATTTTATAATTAACTCACTGGGAGACAGAAGTCCCTTTGGAATATGTCTGTCTGCTGTTTGACTTTTGAACATTCATTTAACAATATCCAACAACACTTACTGAGGGCTGTTCTGGGCATTACTATGTCTCAACATATCTGAGAAACTGTTCCTGCTCTCCAGGGGCTAACATTCTACTTTAAGAGGCATTTTTGGAAATGTATTATAATTTTAAAAAGGGGGCTACGAATATACAAAATAGTCCATAATTTAGAATCTGAACTACAGAAAAAGAACCTAAATATAATTAGACTTCTGAATATGCTCAAATATGAGACTTTATTCCCAAAATTATCCCTCAAAAAGAGGAAGAGGAATTACACTGATCTATCTATCTATCTATCTATCTATCTAGACTACCTCCCTACCTATCTTCCTTCCCACCTATTTCCTTATCCCTTTACTCAAAGAGTACTCATGCTTTGAAGGAAGACTCATACTTTATATACCTTTGTAATTTCCACAGCAAAATGCCTTATGGTTCAACAAATGTATGCTCTGAGTTGGATGGGCTTTGCTGATGCTGACTTTTCCCAGGCTAAAGCAAAGTACACATTTCTAACTTTGCACTGAATCAGGTGGTGAGAAGGGACAGACACTCACTCACCAGGCCGTCTTGGTTTTGGTGATTTTCAGGAGCTGGTTGTCAAAGGCCATTGCAGTTGCTTTTACCTGCCCCTTGCCTTAAACCAGAAGACTTTAAGCTGTTTGCTTCAATCTCATGCAGAATATATTCCCAGCTTTCTCCTACTTGGCTCTCTTCTTCCTAAACTGTCCTGCAGAAGAACCCAAAATCACCCTTTTCCACTGCAAGGCTGTTTCCCAGGCTTGTGCTCATCTTTCAGTTTCTGTCTTCTTGCAGGGCTTTGTCCTCAGCCACGCACAGCTGGGCTCCTTTTCAACCAGCACACTAATACTGCAGCACTGTTTAAATGCCAGGTCACTCTTAGAGAACTCCATCTCACTTTTACTTAAAAAAATTAAATCTATCAATCAATCTATCTATCTATCTATCTATCTATCTATCTATCTATCTATCTAAATATTTATACTGGAAGAGAATGTAAGTATTTTCTCCATACTTATCAACAAACAAATGTTAAAACAGTACTTAAGGAAGTAACTACTCTAACCTTTTTATTTAAACGTTTGAATGGTCATTCTGGAGTGGGACTAGCAGAATGTAAAGTAGTCCTAGATGAGAGGTTTCTTGGGATCTGAGTGTTTATGGCCCCTTTAGTCTTGTCATCAGAAGTGGCTCTCACTTTCCACAACCCTGGGTCACTGGCATCTACCTTCAAACCTAAACAGAA